CTAAATTTTATTTTTTTAATACAATTTAATGATTAAAAAATTAAAAAAACTGTATCATTAAGATACAAGTTAAAAAAAATGTAGATAAATACAATAAAAGTTTGATATTAATTTTAATACAAATATCATATGAATAATTTTAATTAAATATTTGATAAATTAAAAATTAATTTTTATTTATTAATATAAATTAATTTCTAAAAATATAATAATTATATCCTTATACTATATGTTAAAGGTTAAAGCATACGGATAGAAGAACCCTCCTTTTATGCTCTCTACAGTTACATGTAAGCAGAATAGGTGTAGCCGTATAGTCATTACCCAGCAACTTAAAGGACTGCCTTTATTCCAAAGTTGATTAATTGAATTATGTCTTGTTTTGCATCTAGAAGGAGACCAGAGCACCCAAATGGTCAAGTCAGTGGTATTCCATTTCTTTCAAATAAGTTGGTAATTGATTTGTTGAATTTTAAGATCAAACCACCTGGTCCACTGCACTTTTCAGTTCAAAATTTTCTATACTGTCATCTTCCTTCCTTAAATCGTCTACCCTACGGCCAATTAATATATGTTTCCTTCTCTATTTTTTTTTTTCTTTTTTTTTTTCTCTTTTTTAAATTTTCTTTGATGTACTCTTTTTCAACCTTTTATGTGTTTCGTTGCTGTTATATATAAGCAGCTATGTAGAATGGTTCGGAGAACTCATCAAACCATTACCAAGATCTTACATGTCTATCATATTTCCTTCACATACGCTATCTTCATCTCTGATTTCATTCTTTTCACTTCCAAGATGATGATTTTGGGTGGAAGGTCCCTTCAACTTGTCTATGCACTCCTGATTTTACTGCATATGCAAACTTCTGTTGGATTCGATTCAACAACTGGTGATTATGAAATTAGGTGCATAGAGAGCGAAAGACAAGCGCTCCTCGCATTTAAGCAAAGTCTAGTTGATGAATATGGCACGCTTTCTACATGGGGCAGTGAAGAAGAGAAAAAAGAGTGTTGCAAATGGGAAGGAGTTCAATGTAGTAACACAACCAGGCATGTCACTGTGCTTGAACTTTCTCTGTTAAGAGGTAATATTAGTCCTTCCTTATTTGAGTTACACCATTTAACTCATTTAGAACTCAGTGGGAATGATTTCAACTTAAGCCACATTTCAGAGTCAATCGGTTCACTTAACAAATTACAAGGTCTTTCTCTCTATGATTGTAATTTAGGTGGATCTCTTTCTAATCAGCTTGCAAACCTCACGAGTTTGCAACATCTTTCTCTTGGCTATAATAACTTCAACAGTGTCAAAAATCTTGAGTGGCTCTCTTGTCTTTCTTACTTGCAATTCCTTGATATGAGTGGAATCGACCTTAGTAGGGTTACCAATAGCTTGCAGCAAGCAATTAATAAGCTCCCTTCTCTCACTCACCTTGTTCTAAGAAGCACCAATTTGACTGCTTCCACATTCCAATCGTCATTAAAATTCAACAACAGCCCTGTTTCTCTCATTCCAGAAAATCTCGGTCACATAACTAATCTGGAATTCTTAGATCTCAGCTACAACCAATTTGAAGGAGGGATTCCAAAATCCTTTGGGAACCTATGCAAATTAACACACCTAGTGCTATCTAATAACAAGCTTGACGGAATGCTTCCTGAAATCATGGGTAATATATCAGGATGTCTACAAGTCTCTTTAGGATCTTTGATTTTGGATGGAAATAAAATCAAGGGACCCTTTCCTGATATGATAAAAAACTTCTCATCACTGGTAGAATTGACTCTTTCCAACAATCAACTAAGCGGGACTTTGCCCAAAAGTATTGGGCTTCTGTCAAAGCTTGGTTCCTTAAATATTTCTTCCAATTCTTTTAATGGAGTGATCACTGAAGCATACTTCTTAACACTATCTAAGTTACGGTTCTTGGACATGTCTTTTAATCCTCTTAACATCAACTTTAGCCGTGATTGGATTCCTCCATTCCAGTTGAATTATCTAGGACTTCAGTCGTGCAAGTTAGGCCCAAAGTTTCCAAGCTGGTTAAAGACCCAAAGAGAACTTTCTATTCTTGATATCTCTAGAAATGAGATTTCAGATAGCATCCCAGAGTGGTTTTGGAACCTAACTTCTACAGCATTTCAAATAGATCTTTCTTCTAATCAGATCCATGGAGTTTTGCCAAATTTGTCAACTACAAAATTTCCTGATTCTTTTAGCCTTGGGATAGATTTGAGTAAAAATAGGTTGGAGGGTCTATTTCCAGTATTCCCTACTAATGTCACATACATAAACCTATCAGAAAATAGGTTTTCTGGGTCAATTTCTTCTCTCTGTACTATAAATGCTGAGATCCTTCAATTTGTTGATGTTTCGAGCAATCAATTATCCGGAGAGCTTCCTGATTGCATGGCGCGATGGACAAGTCTAGTGATTCTTAATTTGGCTAATAATCATTTACTTGGAAAAATTCCAAGCTTTATTGGATCTCTGTCTCTTTTGGGGTCGTTAGGTTTGCAAAACAACAGTTTATCTGGAGAAATACCTTGGTCTCTAGGAAATTGCAGTGCCTTGCAATTTTTGGACTTGAGTTATAATAGCTTCTCTGGAATAATACCAACTTGGATTGGAGAAAGGCTGAGTTCACTAGCTTTCCTCCTTCTGAGATCCAATAATTTCAGTGGAGACATCCCTTTGCAGCTATGTTGGTTGACAAATATTATCTTGCTGGACCTCTCCAACAACAATCTATATGGAAGCATACCCAGGTGCATCCAGAATCTAACGGCATTAGCTCAGAAGGAGAGTTCAACCCGTTATTATCTTTTTAACAATTCAAATATTGTTGGTACTGCCTGGTATTCCGGAACATACGCTGACAAAGCATCTGTAATGTGGAAAGGTATGGAGCGTGATTATGGGAATGGAAATCTCAAGAATCTCAGGATCGTTGATCTTTCAGGCAACAAATTAACAGGAGAGATTCCTGTCCAGATATCGGTTCTCCTTGAACTAGTTCAATTGAACTTATCAAGAAATCAGTTGACAGGAAGGATTCCCTCAGATATTGGGCAAATGAGACAGTTAGAATCTCTCGATCTGTCACAAAACCAGCTTTCAGGTCATCTTCCTGGGAGCATGTCCCAATTAAATTTTCTCAGCACTTTGAATCTGTCATACAACAACTTTTCAGGGAGAATCCCATTATCAACCCAAATTCAGTCCTTTAATGCTTCTGCATTTGTTGGTAATCCTTCGCTCTGTGGACTTCCTCTGACACCAACTTGCGCGGGAGATGAAAAACCAAAGAGCAAACCAACAGACAGTGGTGGCAAAGACAATCAAGAAGACAGATCTGAATTCTGGAAATCATTTACACTGGGAATGGAACTTGGAGCAGCAATTGGATTTGTGGGAGTTCTGGCTGTGAAGTTAGATCATCCATGGAAACATCTTTGTTTCCTATTGTTCAACAACGTGAGGGTCCGACTCAGCAACTTGAAGGACTGCCTTTATTTGCTTGTAGCAGCAGTTGGTTTCGTGGTGAGAGAGCATGTATCCAGATGGGGAAGAAAGTTGAAGTTGTTTGAGCCATCAGTCTCTTCCTAGGGGCCGGAAAAGGTCGGTACACATTTTTGCTAATCTTGTTAAACATCTTCATTACTTAATTATAAAAACCATACCAAACCAAATAACCTCATCTTATTGTTGCTTTTCAGGTTCAAGCATGTTGCATGGATGTCTTCTTCTCTTTCAACGTCAATAAGTCCAAGCTGAGCAGGGCATTGTTTCTTCCTTAATTTTTCAGTTGTTTGGGTGAAAGGTCTGTTTGAATTAAATGTTTTGTGCTTCTTTTTTTTTTTTTTTTTTATCATCTATTTTGTAATAATTTGCTTGAAACTGATATGCAATATGGATTTGTAGTGTGTAATTTAAACAAGTTCGATGTTTTCATTTTCCATTTTTAATTGAATTCCAAATTTGCGTAGGTTATAAAAGTTATAAAATTTAGATGATCTTGAGAGAAACAGAGAACTCAAAACGTGTATATAAACCGTGAAGTTATTCATAAAATTTATAGTTTTTATGTTAATTTAAAATTAGTATTTTTAATTAATCAAATGGTGAAGAGATGTACGGTAGAATTATAAGCGCCCACGCACTCGCCGCCCTCCACCCACTTCATCCGTTCCTCTGCGCAAACGAGCCTTTACTTGCTTCTTCACAAAATTTTCGGAAATGGAGGGCCGGAGATTCCTTACGCGAATGAAGAAGGTAATTTCTGGTTCTCACCTCCCTTGTGTCTTCATCTCAAAAATTCCAATCGCACTTCACAAAACTATAGAGATGGCCGCGCTGGTTCTGTTCTCAGTGAATAATTTCAATTAACTCATGGCTTTTCAGCATGTCTGCGGGTTTTTGAGTTAAAAGAGGTGCTGAGTTCATATCAAAGGTAACCTCTTGTTTGTCTGTGGAATGGATATGTGCTAGTTCTGTTTATTGTGAGTTGAATAATATTTCAATGGAAACAACAATGCAAGCAAATCACTTCTGTGGATTAATGTTTCAAGTGAATTGTGTAATTAGAAAATAATAATGAATTATTTGCTTGTTCCTTTAATCTTTTAGAGAATCTAATTACTACAGTGGATAATCTAGTAGCTGTAATCCTTTTTTTTCTTTTTTTCTTCCATGTCTTTTCCACAGCAACCAGTTTTGGCGCAAGTTGTAGTAGTCATGCCATTAACAAGTTACAGTAATATTAATTGTGCTATTCCATATATAATTTTTCTGTTTGGTTTTTGATGTAAGGGGTTGCTGCTTATAACCAAAGTTGAGTCTGTTTGGAGCATTTCCTGCAAACAACATCTATAAATGGGTGCATTAATTTGTCTTTTAAGACTATTCTGATGTATGCTTTCACCTAATAACATGATTCATTCATGAAAAGAGAGAACCTTGATTCATTTAATTCTGACTAACTTCTATTACTAATGGAGAGCTGCAGGCAAGACAATACAGCAATGCTCTAGCAGTAAATTTATTTCCCTTTGTGTCTTCGATGTTTCTGCATTTGATGGCAATTTTTCTCTATGTAGGTGCCCTCTAAAACCAACATGTCAGGGAGATGAAAAACACATAGATGGCGGTGGCGAAGAAAATTATGATGACAAACAAGTCAGTAATGGTACCCTTGCTCTTACAGTAATTCGTTTCCCTTTTTATCTTTCTATGTTTGATGCTTCTGCTTCTTTTTATGTGCATAGCTATGCTCACAAAGCATTTGTCTGGTGGAAAGGATTTGAGTATGATTTTAATAGTATCACAATTTTTAGGATTATTGATCTATCAAGTAACAAATTCTAAGGGGAAATTCCAAAGCAGATATGGAGTCTCTTTTAATTGGTGTATTTGATTTAATCAAGGAACCATTTGACCGGAAGGATTGCACAGATAATTGGACAACTGAGACAATTTCAGTCACCTGATTTGTTATATGGCAGGTGTCTTGGCCATAAAATAATGTTTCTGGGGAATTCCATCCGGTACCCAAATTGACACTTTTAATGCTTCTGCATTTGCTGGTAACTCTGCACTTTGTGGACATCCTCTAACACCATCATGCCCTGATGATGAAAAACCTACGGATGGTGGTGTCAAACACAATCAAGATGAAGAAGATGAATTCTGGAGACGTTTTGAACCAAGCATGGAACTCAGATTCAGCTTTGTTTTCAAGTTAGATCATCCAAAGAAACATGTTTGGTCCCTGGTGTTCAACCACATGAAGGTTCACCTCAGCAACTTGAAGGACTTCCTCTTGTTTGATTGTGGCAGTACTGTCTAGAGGTGATAGCGAACACTGTCAGATTGCTAAGAAATTAAGTTCAAGTTTTAGGTGCC